TTTCATCCTGCAGTCAGCATCATAGTGTGTGTTCTGTGAGATGGAGGAGGACTTTGTGGATTGGTGTCGGACATATGGGCTAATGTTGGACTTGTGGGCTTGGGTGTCACTAGGTTGGGATGTTTTCTTGATGTGCACTTAACCTTTATGTAAAACTCTCTCTTCTACACATGAGTTTCTGTGGATGTGTTTCTCCAGAGTACCCAGACTGACACACCCACAGCGTGACCAGGGCTTGGCAAGGATGTGTAACATACGATACCAAACAATTCCTACTGTTTCATATTATATAGCACTTAAGGAGTGTTTGTCCCACTTTAGTGATTTACCAGTGAGTTCAGCTGATAAAAGACAGCCTGATCTTTTCATTGTACAATTTTCCACCATCCTTTTGTCTAATGATTTCATCTAGTAGCATCGTTGCCTGCATCTCTTACTTCATTAGGAGCTGAGAAGGTATTATTTTTCGAATTCCAATGTCGTTCTACAATTATCTGCTCCAATTCACTAACTCGAGCAATAGGGTCACGATGAGTTGGAATTGATTTGTTGGCAGTGAGTTTGGGCTTTGAGAGCTGTTTGATGACTGTGGAATAGAATTAATAGAGGCAAAGTAAGCCCTGTTACTAAGTTCACTTTGGGGTCATACATCTGATTTTGAAAAATAATTCTGAAAAAAAGAAGATTTTCCCACCTTGTAAATGTCAAAGCTGTCACTTGTAACGAAGCAGAGTTGTGGTTTGGTTTTTGCGTCATGTAGAAAAACCTCAGGGAGGCCATAAGTCCTGCCATTGCGTATTTTATTCTCTGGGTCCTTTTTCTAAAAGAACTTTTAAAACTGTGGTTAAATACACATAACACGAAATGTACTGTTTCAAACTTTTTATGTGTGTGATTCCGTTGAATTCAGTATGTTCACATTGTTGTACAATCATCACCACTATTTCCAAAACACGTTTTCACCACCCCAAATAGAAACCCTATACCCACTAATCAATATTTCCTTATTTTGTCCCTAGTCCCCGCCTACAGCAACCACTAAGATATTTTGGTGTCTGTGCATTTGCCTATTCTAGATATTTCATGTAAATAAAGCCATTCAACGAGGAGCTCTGGTGGTATAGTGGTTACATTTTGGGCTGTGACCACAAGATCAGCAGTTCAAAGCCACCAGCCACTCTGTGGGAGAAAGATGAGGCTTTCTACTCCTGTAAAGGCCACAGTCTCAGAACCTCACAGGAGCAGTTCTACCTTGTCCTACAGGCTTAGTCTGGGTTGGCATCGCTCCATGGCTGTGACTTTGGTTTGTTTTTGTTTGGGGAGTTTTTTGTTTTTTTTTTGAGAGCTTTTCAATATTGGTAGTTTTGTAACTGATTTACTTCACTCAGCATAATCTTTTCAAAGTTTTACCATGTTGTAGCATGCATCAAAACTTATTTCTCTTTATGATTGAGTATATTCTACTTTTCTAATCAGTTTATCTGTTGATCAACACTTGCATTCTTTTCACCTGCTAGCTAATACGAATAGCCCTGCAGTGAACACTGGTGTCCATGTAGCTGTTTAAGTACCTGCTTTGAAGCTTGCGGGGCAGATCCTAGGGGTGGAATTGCTGGGTCCTACAGTAATTCAGTATTTAACACTTGAAAAACCACCCGACCATTGTCCATAGTAGCTACACCACTTATATTCCAGCTAGCAATGCCCAAGGGTTCCGATGGCTGCCCATCTTCACAACATCCATCTACGCAGGGTCCTTTCCACTCTGCCTGTTCCTTTTCCTGACCTTAGACAGTCACCTGTAACACAGGGCACTCATGGGCCTGCGCTACGCTAGGATGTCTGCTTCTCTGTTCCCCGCTTATTTAAACAGATGTATTCCTAGGCACTGATTCACCACAGATGCAGCAATGTCAGTGTTTCCGTTGTAGGTGGAGCATTCTGTAGCATGTGGTTGCTAGCACTGTACCCATGAAAAGACCATGTATTAGCACCAAAGTGACCTTGCAGGATGATTTTGTCGTTTTATGGTTTATGATTCTTGTGCAGTCATTTTTATTTCTGAAGGTTGGAGGCAATTCTGACCCTGCCAGATCCACCCATGTTCCCAGGTCTAGTGCTTCACCTATTTTGCGTCAGATCCTTCTTCTCTGTTCCCAGTCTGATGGACCACCAGAGACCATCAGAAACCATCTGGATTAGAAACCATGAGCCACCTTCCGTGGCTCTTAAACTCTGAACTTCCTAGCTTTCCATTTATACCTATGCACAGCCTGGCCTCAAGCACATCTCCTCCCTCGCTCTTCTCCTAGGTCAGCCAGACTAGTGTGCTTTTATGCCCTGCCTCCCAAACCATTGCCAGAGCTCCCCTTCCTCCCAGGCCCAGGATCACACGTGTCCCTGGCTCTAGTCCCCTCCTCCTGTCCATTCTCAGCGCAAACGCTGCAACTGCAAGAGACTTTTTTTTGACCCCATGGTCCCCCCTGCTCCCGGCACACCCGCAGTCTATGTCCATGAACCTGCAGGTCTCACACACCTTCCCATAGCAAAACTAAACTTGCATCACTTCTTCCAGAGAATGGATAAGAACCAAGAACAGGGACATACCCTGAATTGCTCTGTATTTCCTTCCATCCTTGGCACAGTGTCAGCCTCTCGTAGGGACCCTTGTTCTCACCTGCTCATTCAAAGACCCGCATTAGTCCCGACACACCACAATGCTCTGATTCAAGCTCTCAGGTTGGCCTTGGTTTTTGATAGTTCTACTCCTGAAAACAATTACAGTCTCAGAAACCCCCAGGGGCCGCTATACCCTGTCCTCTAGGGTCGCTGTGAGTTGGAATTGTCTTGATGGCAGCCAAGTTGGTTTTTGGAGACTGAAGACTGTTTTTTCTCCACTGTATTGGTCCAACCCGTAATCATGATTCTTCCACATGTCAGTGGGGAGGCCCAGAAACCAACCAGGCACAAGATCAGCACCCTGGGCAGAGCTCTGAAACAGCATCCAAATACTTGCGTGGAAAGTCTGCTCTCACAGGCACACCTCCTCTTATTAAGTTCGACTTCGTGTCTTAACATCTGTAAGCGACCGGAGCGGGGACCTGCCTTGGCGTAATTATGCACCACTTCTCTGCTGTCATAGAACCAAAGCTCTTCTTTCCTCCTGCAAACTGGCATGACAGATAGCCATTTAGTAGAGTGATTATTAGTATAAAATTACTTTTTGGCCCTTAAATTTAATTATACCACATTCATAACAATAAAATAAAATCCGAAATCCAGGTGTGCTTTTCAAGGAAAAGTGTCCAGAGCAATTACCTTTGATAATGGCGACCTACACTTAAGCCTTTTGTCTGGGGATCTTGAAATCTTTTCCACACAAGTAGATAATGATGTTCGTTTTGTAAGGGGTGAGAGGTGAAGTGATTGACCTCTTGGTGTACTCAGCAGATGAAGAAAAGTCCAGAATCCAGGTGTCTCCTTTGTTTTATTTTCCCCTCCCCTTCTCTTTCCCCGGCCAACCTTCGATGGATTTAAATACCTTGCCTTCTTTACCAGCACGGAAGAAGAAAAGTTTCTATATCACATTTCATCGGAGGAACAGTTGAGATTCAGGGGAGGGAGTGGTTCTCATGCAGCACACATGTACCAGGAATTGTGCATGTGCCCGCCTCCCCAGGTGAATTTGCCCCTTCTCTGTTACACGGACACGCATACCACTTCTGTCCAGTGGATTCCGACGGACGGAGGACCTGTGGTGAAGCAGGCCCCAGGCCTTTCTTCTAGGGCACGTCTGAGTGGGCTCTGGTTGCCAACCTTGTGGTTAGTAGTTGTGCAGTTAGCTGTTCGTACCACTGAGGGCATCTATCGCGTATGCACAGTAGAGATTCAAAGTGGGCCCCATGAGTTCATAAATTAAAAGCAATTGGAACAGCTCCCGGCCCCTGGCAAGCCCACTGGAAATGCTAGCTTTTGTAACTATCCTATTGGTCGTCGAGGGCAGCACCCATAGTCTTTGAAGAAGCAACACTTGGAGTGTGTCTGTGCTGTGCTGTGTAGCAGCTTGGGTTACTCTTCCCTTCCCCACCCACCCATCCAAACCAAAAACGCAAACTTGCTGCTATGCAGTCGATGCTGACTCATGGTGACTTTATAGGACATGGTAGAACTGCCCCTGTGGTGGGGGTGGGGGGTTCCCAAGACTGTACATCATCACAGGAAGAGAAAAATCTCGTTTTGGTCTTATGAAGCAGCTGGTGGTTTTGAACTGCTGACCTTGCAGTTAGCAGTCATGTCAGCTGCACTTAATATCCCTCCAACAGAAACCTTTTCAGGTCTAACCATCATTCGATTCTTATGCTTTATTACCTTTTCTTTTTTTAAGAAGGCTGTTCCTTCCCCAGTGTCACTTTTAATTCACCTCCTCCACAATCAGCTCTTAAATGAGTGCCTCTATTACTATGTTATCATTTTCTCGGTTCAATTCAAAAGCTTGACCTCAAAGTTTCCCAAATTTATTTGGTCTATTACTCATTTTTCAGGGAAAAAAATTACTTAGTGTGGCCTGGCAATTGAACACTTTTGTTCTACAGCCCGTAATCTAGGCTAAAGCATACCTGTTTTTGTAGCTCCCCTGGATTGGTCCAAGGCCTCCCAGGGCGTGGCATCACCCATTTTAGGAAATACTAATCTATCTCACACTGGGATAGGCCTTATTAGGGCACTAAGTCATGTCATGTCCAGTAACTTTTTTTTTTAACTATTGTGTGCATGCTTATCTCGTGTCTAATGGGATTAGTGGGTCTTGAGGTAAAAGTGCAAATGCGATGTATTTATATTCCCCTAAGTATTACATTCTCTTGGATCACAGAGCTAATTTCCTTTCCCTCGCTCATTAACATTCACAGCCAGGGTTTGCTTTCACGTTCATGGTCTCCTGATGAAATGCTGACTGCGAAGGGGGGAGCTACTCATACTGTTTGCCCTTTGGTGTCTTCCAGGATTTTCTTCCCAGGAAGCCATCCCATCCGAGGGGTGCAGGTAATGAAAGTTGGCAAGCTGCAATTACATCTAGGCATGTTTCCCGAGGCGAGGAAGAACCTCAGACTGGTGAGTTCCCCGGTCCCGTGTGTTTCACAGCGCAACGTCCAGAGCAACAGAGGTTTATTGAGGGGGTAGAGACAGCCGGACCAGGACCACAGCCAAGTTCACAGAGTGAAAACGGCCACTCGCGCGGGCAATGAGGAAAATACAGTTAGAATAGGAACAATTTAGTGGAATTTAGTGATGCGTAAAAGTGGGGGTTACATGGTGGGCGAAAGAGATGTGCCCTTTAGTGTATTACAGGATGGTCACCAGACCGCTGGGCAAGGTTCTCTGGTAAGCTGTTAGCGAATGTGTCCCCTCAGTCATGTCCGTTCCGGGGCGGGGGCGTGTCCTAAAGAGTGACCAGTCGTGCTGTGCATCAAGACCACTCCGGTAGGGGTGGCGTCTGTGTAGTGAATCACAGTGGGGAGAGACTTTCCCTTTCTGGTCTGAGTGATCATGGTCGGCCGGCTAAATTAAGCAGCAGATCTTTATGGCAGATCTATCTGAAATCTTGGACAGAAAAATAATATGGGCAAAATGAAGTCTGTAACCCAAAATAGCTTATCTGAAAGGCGATATTTTATAAGTGATCAAGTGAATCCCTTACATTCCCATAGGAGGGCAAGTGGTAATACGCGCATGCTTTCTCTGGTCCTCATGACGGATGACAGCCATATGAAGTCCGTGGACAGACATTCAATCCCGTGGGAAAAGGGAAGGCCTAAGGCTTGGAGACATCCAAAAGCTACTCCAGAGTCACACTCACTGAGGCAGAGCCAGGTCTGGTTGTTCCATTTAATTCAGCACATGTTCACTAAATGCTTCTATTAATCAGGATAAGGCCCAATGTTGTCCTTGCGATTGAGTGGAGGAGACAGACCTGTGAACAAGTCATTAAACCCAGGCTAGACTCCAAGGTTCTGTTCTTCCCCTTCCCCCTAGGCTGGCCTGGCGGAATAGATGAGGTTTTCTAGCGGACTCAGTATGGAAGACATTTTTCAGATTTAGCTGTTTCTAATGCCAAGTTGGAGGAAAATGTTCAGAAGAAATTAGAGAAGATCTGGGCCTTTCTTTCATGTTAGCCGTTAGCCATTGCGTCGAGAACTCTAGAAGGAGGCGCAGGAGACCCACCCTCCACTGCAAAGATAAGCTGTTGGGGTTATTAAATTTTGTTTTTTATAAATATTTTCTATTTTATTTTAGGTCAATTGACATTGTTCATCTGACTTAATTTTTTTCCTGGATTATTTTATCATTCATATATATATATATATACACAGTTTTCTTGGGACATAATCCAAATATTGTGAAATTCAGTAGTTCGATCATATCAAGGAGTGTTGAGCAATCAGTACCATGATCAATTTTAGAACATTTCCTTTTTTCTTGTACTCCTTGCTACTAGCTCCCTATTTCCTCCCAATCTCCCCTGCTGTACCCCCAAGGAACCATTAACCCAGTTACTGTCTCGATAGATTCAGCCATCCTGGATGATTTCAGATACCCCAAAACATACAAAAATACAAAACAAAGAGTAAAAAAGTTAACAACAACAAGAAGATAAAATAGGGGGAAAGCCAAGTTGGAAAGCAAACAGAAAATATTTAAAAACTAGATCAACTTTAAAATGGGTCGAAAGGGAGATCAAAGGGTAAAGGGTTAGATCAGGCGTCCTCAAACTACAGCCCGCGGGCCACATGCGGCCAGCCAAGGACATTTATCCAGCCCGCTGGGTGTTTTTGCCCCATTTGTTTTTTTACTTCAAAATAAGATATGTGCAGTGTACATAGGAATTTGTTCATGGTTTTTTTTAAACTATAGTCCGGCCCTCTAATGGGTCTGAGGGACCGTGAACTGGCCTCCTGTTTAAAAAGTTTCAGGACCACTGGGTTAGATTTTAACCTACTTATTATCTTTCATAATCCACTTCCCAGTGCATTCTGTATGATGACAAGGAATACAAGCCTGTTAGAACCTGGATAGACATCTAGACACAACTTTAGAGGGTAGCAGTGGGTGGGGCTGATGATGGTGGCTGTATAGGCTCCTTCCAATGACCCTCTAAGTCCAGCTGGTGCCCATTTTCATTCTCTGTCATTCTTACGCCTCTTGTGAGCTTGCCCCACTTCCTCCAGGAACCATTTTAGCATCTCCTCCTGATGCCACAGGATAGGCCAAGCATTGCCCATGATAGCCACCAAATGAAAGACATTCTGGGAGCAGCATTCGCATACCCATGATGAGACCTAGTGGGACCCCAAATCTCTTGCCAGTTTCTGATTCCCAGCCAAGAAGGAAATGTTCATCCCATAGGGTGTGATGTCATTTAAAGAACATTCATATGCCTAAGGGACAACTGAAGTCTGCAGATTCAAGTTCCAGTCCTGGCACTTAGGAATGTTGCGACTTTCTACAGCAAACATCAAGCCAGTTGCTGCTGATTCTGACTCGTGGCAACTCTAAGAGTTGCAGAGTTGACCTGCCACGTAGGGTTTTCAGCAAGTCACTTAATCTCTCTGAATATAATGTTTTTAAATGGGGATCATTCCTGCCCATCCCCCCATAGTTGTTTCTAGAATTCTATGAAATAGTAAGAGGTGAAGCATTTTGACAAGCTAAAGGGTCATATTTGATACAGATATCTGTACATACAGATACAGATATCTCCTTCTGCTCATACCCCCACTCCCTTGGCCCTTTAGCACAGGGACTTCTAGTTTGGGATATCCTGTGATCTCTTGTTGAACTACTGCATGACATATTCCCAGCAGTTCCCCTGTGTTTGTCTCCCCAAGGTGAGTGGGCATCCTCCAGGGACCCCAGCTTGTGTGTCTCCCTGGTGCTGCCTCACACAGACACGCGCCAAATACAGCTCCTTGGGGTTGGGGGCTGCCGAGCCCGTTCTGAATGGCTGCGGCCCTGTGTACAGTGGAACAAAACTCCACTTGCTCCTCTGCCACCGCCCTCGTAGTAGTCCTTATGTTGGCGCCTGTTACAGCCACTGCATTCACCCATCCCGTTGAGGGCCTTGCTTTTTTGGGGGGGCTTCCCTTCTACTTTCCCAAGCATGGTGTCCTTTTCCAGGCACGAGTCTCTCCTGATCACATGTCCAAAGCAGGTGAGATGAAGTCTCACCATCCTTGTTTCTAAGGAGCATTCGGGCTGTACTTTGTCCAAGACAGATTTCTACATTAGACAATTAGCTGTACTTTCACTATTCTTCCCGGCACTGTCATGTATGGGGTTCCCCCCAAATCTAGCAGGTTCTGTTAAATAGATGCTTGAGTGCAGGTTGTTTTGGGGTTTTGTTTTTTCATGACTGGAAGACTATTGGGTAAGCATCGACATGTCAGCTGTTGACAATACTAGCAGCCTCTTGGGAGAAAGTTGGCGCTTCTGCTCCCATAAAGACCGACAGCCTCAGAACCCCCATACAGAGCACTCTGGGTAGGAATTGGTGGCAGTGGGTTTTTTCAGTTCTGAGGGGACTTTGAAACCCCTACCCGTTCTCGTTTTTCCAGCTGTTCTTTCGTGCATGGCTGATGGGCCAGGGGCTTCTCACAGATCTGGTGAGCGCTTGTTATCAAAGGTTCTGTGTGAACATGTCCTCTTCCTTGCCAGTCCACGCAACCCGTGCATCGAGAGTCAGGGCAGCTTCTTCCCCGAGAAAATCTACAGAAAGGTCTTGAGTTTTCTCAAGACACGGGACCCCCGAGAGGAGACATTCAGGTACACTTTCTACCATTGGGAAGAGATGTGCTCTTCAGACGGACACCCCTGATTGTCTTTCCTTGGAAAGCCTTGGGGTAACGGAGGTGAACTGGCCAGGAAAGGATGGTAAAGGCTGAGTGTGGAACAAAAATCAGAACAGTCAGCTTCAAAATTTGTTGCAGATCCAATTAGCCCCCAGCCTCCCCCAGGAGAGGAATCTACTTAGCACAGCTCCGATTTGGTTTACACTTCCATCTCCACCAGGCTCCACGGAAATTCTGGTGATTGCAGCCACGGGACAGTCCTGGGCCCTGCCCAGAGCGCCCTCCCGCTGGCTCCCGTCTCCCGTCTCGAATCTACTTTCGTTTCTTTCCATTTATTTCTTGGGAGGATTTTGTTTGCTACTAATTTGACTTGTTGGCCCTCAAGGGCAACTGTTCCTACTTGGGCTGTCTTGTCAGTGAGCCTGTTTATGTTCCACGAGCTGTACATTTTCCAGGCTCCCTCACCTCGGCCCGCGTCACTGCTTTGTTAGCAGAAGTCAGGTGGTCCAAAAACAGATTTTCCCCGTTCACTGACCATTTTCTTTTAAGCCAGATTAAACTCCCTGCACTCTTAATTCTCACTTCATTTTGTAGAAGGATTTTATATGGGTGTGTGTCGGGGGTGGGGGTGGGGGGACAGCGGATCATTTTAGTATTCCTGGACCTGAACTTGGAGTGCAAGCCAGGAAGCTTCTGGGTGCAACAAGTCCTGGACTTTGCTCCTTGCTGACAATTAGCAGCCACTCAGCACGCCCAGGGGGAGCTCAGAGCCCAGCCGCACTTGTCTCCGTCCGCTCCAGTTTGCACTTGGATTTCCAGCCCGTGAAAATGGCTGGTTTGAAATGTGAAAATTCTATTGTTCCCATTTCTTTATCAGCTACAGTGAATCTGAACCTTATGTTCTCTCTTGGGAATCTGCTGAGAACCGCTTCCTCGGTATACACATCGCTGTTGTATATTTTGTGGGAGACTGGGTTTCAGAGTCCCTGAAGCCTTTCTCTGGAATTTCTATGTAGCTCTAGCAACGGTTCTCAACCTGTGGGTCACGTCCCCTTTGGGAGTCAAAGGACCCTTTCACAGGGGTCGCCTGATTCATAACAGTAGCAAAATGACAGTTATGAAGTAGCAACAAAATTAATGTTATGGTTGGGGGGTCACCACCACATGAGTAACTGTATTAAAGGGTCCCGGCATTAGGAAGGGTGAGAACCACTGACCTTGAGGTAAAAAGCCCTCCTCTAAACATGTGCTGACAAACACTAACAT